GGCAGGGCTGGGGCAGAGACAGGACAGCGCCCTGGCGCAGGGGGATGGGGGGGCTCACGCCACACCCTACCCCCCCTGAAGAAGATGCCCCGGCCTGGGGCAAGGGATACTGGGGTCCCGGGGTGCTGTGGACCTCTGTGAAACAGCTAGAGGAGAAAAAACAAATCACCAGCTGATAGCCAATATGATTTATTATCATCAAAATAAGCACATCATCAGAACAAATTTGGTTTACTGAGTGGTACAAGCTGTTTCCAGATTCTTACATATCAGTGCTGTCGTCCTCTTTGCTGATGTATTCCTCCAAGATACTCGTGTCAATGTTTGTTGGCTCCAAAGAGCTGTTAATATCATGACCTGCAAGGGAAATAGAGGGAGAGAGAAACAGAAAGGTAGAAGAGAGTGAGAGAGGAGGATGAGTATCGTGTTCCTACGCACTGTTTCTACAGTTATAAAATAACAGTTTCACAACATCTCTTATTCAGACTCCAACAAAAGAAGGAGACTGTTTCGTGTGGCTTGCAACACTTCTGATCATTTGTTTACTTGTTTAATAGCCAGATTAATGACATATGGTCAAACTAAGGATCACAGATGAGGTTAATGGAAACATAAATGTCTTGGAGGTTATAGACACAACACAAATTGTAAAAAACCCAAAAGGAAGGTCACTTGCGAAGAAAGTTCTCTTTTATTCTGCACGAAAGTAGCTTTTCTCTCTCCTCCCATCCATACCTCTCTATGTATCTGCCCCCCTTCTCTACCTCTTTGCCAAATCTCTTCAAATCTCCAGCACAAGACCCATCGCAGTAATCACTCTATTGCAACACCTGCAACAGTTACAGGTCACTCTCACCCAGGCCGACTGACCCTGCACACTCATGCCAAATAAAGCACCTTTTCTTGCATAAGCTTTCTCTTTATGCATTGTATAATAGGCTATATTTAAAAAAGGTATGTGCATGTTTTGGGTTAAAAAATTTAAATACAACAAATATATAATATACATTATTTTCAGCACATGCCTTTTTGTCTATTAAGTTGTGCAATAGATTCAACACAAAATATAAGCATTTGTCAAAAATGATACCTTGTTTAATTTATAGCTATTATTGCAAGTTATGAACCCATATGAAAGTTATTTACCTTTAAAAAACATATACATATGTTTTGAATAAATACATATTTGTACTTAAATTATGTATTTTATTTAATGCATTTTAAAATTATTATTGTAAAAAAAAGAAATATATATTAGGGATGCTCCGATCGGCATCGGCCGATAATCACATTTTATGACTCGATCAGTACTCACTAACTTGGCCGATCTTACGAACCGATCGCAATTTGATGACGTCAATGTGCAGCATGTTAGAATGAAGGATCATAAGACATTGAAGACGGGATTAATGGCTGCTGAAAATTGTAATTGTAATATTTCATAATATTTCTTTTTTTATTATTAAATAAATGCAGCCTTGGTGAGTATAAGAGACTTGTTGCAAAAAAAAACTTTTGGACAGTAGTGTATATTAGCACTGCTTTATTTTAGGGATGCTCTGATCGATCGGCCGGAGATCGGTATCGGCCGATAATCACATTTTATGACTCCATTGGTACTCACTACACTTGGCCGATCTCATGAACCAATCACAATTTGATGACGTCAATGCGTGACAACGTACATGATGCATGAGGACATAAATGATTTGGCGCCACAGTCATGTCGTCGCCGATGTGGAAATGCTATGACGTTTCGAGAAACAATGAAAAATTTGCTATTTGTCGTGTATGTTTTGCATGATGATATAATGAATAGATGGTTCATTTTTAACAGCAGATTCAGTGACGTTAGAGCTGATCTGTGCCTCACTGCACACTGCGGTGTGTTACGGCTCCACGGCCACTGGAGCTGATCGCAGCCGCTCTAATCAGTGCTTGTGTTTATCAGCCAGCCGCGGCACGTTTCTGAAGAGGCTCTCCACGCTGCTTGGTTAAAAATAGTCTTTTGTGATTTGTCACAGCGTGGAAGACGGAACAAACACACACACACACACACACACGAAATCGTCTGCCTCATGAAAAAATATATTTAAAAAAAATGTAGTTAATATTTGCATCATTTATGATTTATTTTATCCACCCGCGACCCACCCGCAAATAATCAGAATGCATTTTTTATTACCCGACCCGCAGATTATCCGCAGCGACCGTGGATATAGGAAAAGCAAAATAAGTTTGCTGTGTAAATCAGACGGACTTACTGATGACGGACTTTGCTTTAAAGCGGGAGAAACAGGTTTCCCCAGTAACGGCTGTACACAAAGCAGCGCTGAGCTCACAAACACTGCTTTATCAGGCATATAACATGCAAGATTAAATGAAAATGACATCGAAACTTCT